GGTGCTGAGCTGGCGTGACTCACTTGTACACAGCCTCATCCAACTGTACAGGTGTCGAAGTTTTCATAGCTTTTCTACCACACCCCTCTGCTAGTGCTTGCACCTTCACTTTCACTGGTTGAAATGTATTTCAGAATTTTCTCTTTTTGTTTCCTTATATCAGAAACAGTACCAGTGCCTATATTAAATTCCTTGGCAACACTTGAAGTCGACCGGCCATCTTCACAAAGTTGTATAACACGTAACTTGTCCTTAATTGTTAGGACAACCCTCTTCCTCTTAACATCTCCAGAATAATTGATGCTGCGACCAGACGTAGTCTTGGCCAAAAATGTTCAAAGTTACTATCAAAATAAAAATTATTTAAAAAAAATTTCACTAATGGCACGGCACTGTGGCACTCTCAACACAAGGGTTGAGAGCACATGGCATGACCAGGCATGGATGGGTCCACTTGGGGCAAGGAGGCACATTATGTAGGCTGCCAGCAGGGAAAAAAAAAACAATACTGTACTTTTGAAGGAAACTTCAGCCTGTGCAAATTGTTTTTATGAAACTTGTATAGTATTTTCTATTACATAATTACTAGTATTTCTTTTGGTTTTGGCTATGATGAATTGTTCTAAAATTAATGGTAATTCCTGTACTGTAGTGTATAGGCCGCTCCACATCCCCCCCCCCCTTATCCCCCCAGGTGATCCCTCCCAACGCTCCCCTATCCCCCGACACCACCCACCCACCCCCCCTCCACCATGCGCCTCAAGCCATAACCAGACGGGATTAATACGGTACGGCCTGCCCCATGGCTTTCATATCCGGACAATTCAATGATTATCCGGCTGACTGTTCGGATAGTGTAACATCAGCAGCAAGTTAACCGGCTCCAATTTTTTATCCGGCTAAACCAGCTTTTATCCGGCTCCCCTGGCCATTTTGGCTGGATATTGAGATAACTTTATCCGGTCACGATTTTGGCTGTATAATGGCGTTTTCCGGATGTTTGAATCCCGGATAATCGAGTGGTTACAATATTCTTTTTTGTGTGTCGGACAGATGCTTGCATATCTCTATTATTGCATTATCCATCAGGTCCAGTTAATAGCATCTGTTCTCCTTATCAACAAAACGTTCTTTTTTTTAAATATTTGTCTAAAATCAACTTCTGAAAATATTTTGAAGAAAGCTTCTCGACAGTGTAGCCAATAAGGAAAAGATTTGATTAACATTTTAAAGTAATTGACATAATTTAAATATTTTTCGCTTCCTTGCCCCCTTATGCCGAGCAGTTTAAGGGTTAAGTTACCTCACATCCTCTCAAGCATACTGTAATATGTAAAACCCTGAACTGCAGTACTAATCCTGACCTTAAATGCTTCCTAGAGAACCAATGGTAAAAGAACCAATGGGCATTTCAGTGGAAACAAATATCTGATTTCATGAGTGCGACTTAACCAAAAGCAGAAATGCTTATCAAATGAAGGGTTCCAAAATGTAGAATGACCTTCCTAATCATATTCCAACCACATGGGGGTTTCTTTTGGCCATTGCTCCTCATGGTTCTCTGAGGGGGGCCAGGTTCAGGTGCGTGGTCCCCGGTAGGTCTAGAACTCCTTGTGCATTGACTGATGCCAGGGTCTCATACATTCATATCAGCCCGGTTAGCTCCGGGAAGCCAAAGGGGCTCCACCCAGAAGGAGCTTTGTTAATTAAGTGGAACCTCTGGAGAAATCATGGGAAAATTAAAAAAAAAAGTAATTACTAAACTCAAAGATATGTGCCAAAAGGGAGAAAGAAAAGAAAGGCAACAAGATGGATGACACAAGTAGTAAAAAGAGCGCTAATAACTAAACAGAACCTCTGGAGACAGTATAAATCCACAATGAACATCTTAAATTATGAGATACATAAGAGCATTAAATTCAGCAACCCAGGAAATCAAAATACTTTACATCAGTGTTCACACTAGAAAGACAACATCCCATTACACACACAAATGTTCAAGAGGTGAAAAGAATGAATTTAGGGATATACAGTGGCACCTCAATTAACAAGCGGCTCTATCTACGAGCATTTCGAGTAACGAGCGAGCCACTCACAGAACATTTGTTTCTACTAACGAGCTTTTCCTCGATTAATGAGCGTTTCCGCTAGTTCTGGGACACCTTTTACGACAGATTTGTTGTTGTTTCACAAGACGAGTTTTCCACATGACGAGCTCGGTGCCGGAACAGATTAAACTCATTAATCGAAGTTCCACTGTACTCATAACATGCGATATAATCAGGAAGAGCATTGACAAACTAAAGTCAAAAACCCAAGGTGTAGATGGAATTTACAAAGAAAAAAGGAACTGGCAGATGAACTACACCTACTACTGAAACTCCTTTTCACAAAATATCTGGACCAAGGAATAGTTCCTGAAGATTAGAAATATGCAAATGTCACCCCTATTTTAAAAAAAAGCAGAAAGCACTCAACAGAAAACTACTGTCTGATCAGCTTGACATCACATCTGTAAGCTCATGGACAGAATCCTAAGGAAGTGAATTATTCACCATCTCACAGTCAACAATCTTGTAAAATCGACACAATATGGAGTTTGTTAAAAATAGATCCTGCCTTACAAACCTGCTCACATTTCTGGAAACGGTAACCGACTATTCAGACAAAGGACTTCCAGTAGATATAGCTTTCATGGATTTTGCTAAAGCTTTTGACAAGATACCACATGAACGACTATCGAGGAACTACAGGCACACGGAATAAATGGCAAAATATTAGAATGGTTAAAACAAACAAAAATAAACAGTGGTGCAAATGGGAATAAATCTGATTGGAGAAATGTGGTAAGTACCTCAGGGGTCCATTTTGGGGTCAACCTTTTCAATCATATACATCAATAACATAGAAAAGAATATTTCAAACCACATCATCAAATTTGCAAATTTATTGTAGTGGGAAGCTAAAATGTTGTTAAGGCTTTGGAAAGAGATCTAAATGAACTCCACAAGTTATCAGAAGAATGGCAAATACTTTTTAATATAAAAAATGCAGGACTTTACATGTGGGACATAACAATCCACATCATAACTATCAAATTAATAACATTACCTTGTAGCAGATTGATGAAGGACCCTGAAGTCAGAAACCATCATTCACTGAAAGTTGCACAAGTGGCAGCTGCAACAACAAAAAAGCTAACCAAAGCCTAAGAATAATCAAGAGTACCTTTGACTTTTAGGAAAAGATGGTAGTTATTAAATAGTGTAAATCTCTGGTGCACCCCCACCTGGATTACTGTATCCAGGCATGGAGACCTCATCTTCAGATAGACATAGCTGCTCTGGAGAAAGTGCAATACCGGGCAACAAAAGGCATTCCAGATACAAGTCAACTCGCATATCAGGAACGGTTGAGGGCCACAGGGCTAACAACACTGCAAACCAGGCCTGACAAGGCAGATCTCATTGAAACCTTTAAAATATTGAACAATTTGGAGGATGTTGATCCATACAATTTCTTCAGAAGGTTAGATGTAACACAAACGAGGAGCAACGGTTTCAAACTCAACAAGCCACAATGTAGGACTGAGAACAGGAGATGCTTTTTTACCCACAGGGTTATAAACCCATGGAACTGCCTACCTGCCAAAGCCGTAAATGCCAAAACTGTGCTGAATCAAATAAAATAAAATAAAATTTATTTATTTATATATTTATAAACAAGAAGGTACATTGGGGTTAACAGAGAACATATAAATTAAGTTGATTTTACATTCTAGTAAAGCAACTAGCACGCATAGCGTTTTGGGCAAGTCCTTAAACTAACATAATTTTTAGATAATTCACAGGAAAATTTACAAAAAATATTTATAGGTACATTGTAAGAAAATTTTAACACAAGCATATTAGAATAATACACAAAAATAACAATACACAATAATGAACGAGGATTGTTTATTATAAAATGTTTATCAAGGTAAAAGTACATAATAGAAGATGAGTTCCAAACAATGTTGGATTTATAGATAGACTTAGAACATACAATACCTAAAACCACAAATATGCACAGTGTTTTGGGCAAGGTGTGTGAGGAGAAAAAAACACTTAGACTAAAACCTAATATTGAGATCAAAGCATAAATTGAGTTAAAAAAAAAAGGGGGGGGGGGAACTTGGCAGAAATCAGCAGTTATACAAGTTAGTCAACAAACAGTATTGTTTAAAATAGCAAGATATGGGTTGACATTTATGGGGTAAGGAAGGTTACATGGAGTTTATTAGGTAGTGCTTAGTTTTTCTCTTAAACTGGTTGAGCGAGGTACAGCCTTTGACATGACTGAAAAGGTCATTCCACATTCTGGGTCCCTTGATTTATAGAGCATTTCTAGTTTGGTTAAGATGCACTCTTGGAATATCAAATAGGTATTTGTTTCTGGTGTGGTGCTCATGGGTTCTGTTACAATCTTCTAGGAAGCTTTTAAGGTCAGGATTGGCATTACAGTTCAGAGTTTTTAATATATAGAGTACACATGCAGATGTGCAGTGACTTAATATCTAACATATTCAAAAATTTGAGGAAGGGATCCCAGTGCTGTCTGGGGCCAGAGTTAGATATTGTTCTAATAGCAGCTTTGTGTTGAGTAATTAAAGGACATAAATGATTTTGGGTAGTAGAACCCCAAGCACAAATACTATAATTGAGGTAAGGATAGACGAGAGGAGTAGTTCAAGACTAGTTCAGTTCAATAGCCGAGAAAGTTCAACATATGAACTTCAAAATCCAGCTGTAAAAAATCATCAGGACAAATAGGCGGACCTCCTTTGGCAAGCCGCCGGCATTCTGTCCTCGTCGAGGCCTTAGTGTCAGTGGCCCTCGGGTAAATAAGCTAGGATGGTTTAAGGCATCTTGAAGTGTACCACGACTATTTATGGGTTATTTTGTAATTTACGCCCAACTTTGTTGAGCATTCCTACTCTGATGCAATTAATGATGACTTACTTCTGATGTCTCCTTCACTCTTTAATGTGGTCTATAGTGATGACGAATGCTAGGAACGATAGTTGACTTGGAGTATGTCGCCCTTATGTCAGCCACCCGACACCTGCCATTTAAACTCCACAACAAGAGGCGACGACCAATCACAAGTCTTCTTATACCATATCATTGAACGATCGTGTGTATAAATGTTTATTTAATATGCAAATCTTTTGAACATAAAAATGTGAAGTTTGAGCTTATGATCACTATAATTCTATGCATATATATATATATATATATATATATATATATATATATATATATATATATATATATATATATATATATATATCAGTTATATATATACCATTGTAGTATCTACATTAAAAATTAAGTAGCAGCTACTTACATGTTCCAGGAATTCCACGTACTACAAACGCCATCAAGCTGTATATCTCACCTTATCTGACATCATTATCTCACCTATAGTATTTGTGCTTGGGGAACTACCCAGCCCATCCTCCTAAGGTTTCTCAACGTCAATAAAGTGTCGTACTGTTTGGAACAAACTGTCGGTACAACTAAGACAGAAACAAGAGGGGCTGTGAAGAATTCCGCGAGGCCCGCGATGAGAGTTCGTACCTACGTCCGAGAGGATCTCAGACGCGCCTTAATTAGCTGTGACATGGAAAAGAATTGCAACTTGGAGTTCCACTCGGTCCGTAGAATTACCCAAATCTACCCAAATGTACCTCCTAGCATTACGTAAGTAATGAAGAAATATGATATATTTACTTACTGTAATTTTGGTGCTGCACGTAGAACACGATCAAACCTATTTTCACTCTGAAATAATGTAATTTCATATCGAAATTTGAAGCAAATATGTAGCAGGTGACGCCATAGGAAGTCGACGGTCCAAGCGACAAAATTGTGGAGCGACTTATCCAAGATATACGGTCGCCGGGAGAGTGTTTGCTGCCATATCAGCCTCCTGTACACAGTGATCCAGTCGTCGCACTTCTTTGCTCAAATTGTCGTAAATTTAATTAATGAATGGGGTATTTGTAATAATATCTTTCATAAATAGCCACAAAACATTTAATATTTCTTTAAAAAAATGTGTCTGGAAGTTAAATCAACTCCACAGGACAATAATTTTGTTATATAGATACTAACGTTACTCGTTTGTATGCAGTCGCTACTTAAACTACTTATGTCCTTTTCGTTCATTGAACACCGAACCCTACATGCTCTTTGATATATTGCTTAATTAATAGAGATTCACAAATAAAACTTATATATGTATATGTTATCAGAAAGGCAGAGATAAAATAGTTTTTGCGAATCCATCACAGAGATTATATCTTATTAGAGAGGAAAGATATTCATATTTTAAACAAGGTTTCTTGGCCGATGCTCTCCCTATCGATGGGAACTATGATCTTTCGAAGATCAATGTTAATCTAATCTAGATATTGTAATAAACGAAGTTTTCTATGTCATAATAAAGATAGAAATATAAGCTGCATGTTAATACTTTAGCATAAATATAACTGTGAAAGTGATGATATATGCCTTTTCATAGCCACTTGATCGCTAACTCAGGGAGTGTGAAGGCCTGCACACAAGCCAATCAATTGAATAATTAATTTGCATATATGCAAAGTAATATTAAAGTTCTGTATGTCAGCATAAACACAGATGTAGACGATAATGTGACTACATTTCAAGGAAAATATATCTTCAATGAAATGGCCCCTGCTTTACTCATAAAGCGAGGGAGTATCTGGGAAAGGAGAAAAACATTTGCGCAGCACTCTCTGCGGGCGCTGCGCACGCATTTTTTTTTTATTTTTTTTTTATTTTCTACCACCGACGTGGCCACACATTTACAATGCTAACCAGCATATATACATTTTCTTCTGTCCTCCATGGAAGTGAAAGTACGAGGGGTCTCTGCCTCATTTACGCTCCAGCTCCGGTCCGCTTTGTTTCAAAACGTCGTTATGAAAAACGACTCTTCCACGACACCGCTCCGGCACGTGGACCACTTCGATGACATAGAAGTTTAGCTTGTTCAACTGTGCCCCCAACATGGATCCTATACCAGCAACCTCTGCCCCGGACCTCGCCCTATCAGACCTCCTCGTCGGGGGGCCCATCAACGTCTCAGAGCGACCCGTCAGGGGTGTCCTGCCCTCCTCAACAAATCCTAAGGTACAGTTGTGTCTGTGTTCCCCTCCACGTAGGAGCGTGGAGCCCCCACCTAGGTTAGGGTGTCCCCAGTGTCTGGCATGTGCCTAGCGCCGTGTCCCTTGAGGTATGTGTCGTGCCGCCCTAGCTAGCTTCCCTCCCTGGCCGGGCCGGAAGGTCCAGCTGCTTCTCTCTTGGGCGCTAAGCCGTGAGATTTCTCGGCGCAGTTTCTCCCTGCCCTCAGTGGTGCGCTGGGCCTGCACCCCCTGTGTGGGGCTTTCTTTCCCTGGCAGGCTGCCATCACTCTGTCTTGCGGTGCCGCACACGTGGCCCGGGCCCTCGTGGCTTTCAAGCCCTAGGGGTGGCCCCCATTTGGGCCCTGGCCCGCCTCTTAGCGGGGCCTCTCTGGGCCCTCTTTCTCCAACGCTTTTCCCTGGGCCCGCTTCATTCTGGGTGGGTGTTACGTACGACCCTGGATTCTTAATTGGAAACCAGAGGTCAAATTGAGATCAAAATACTTGTAGACATTAATTCATAGGATTGGATCATGTGAGAAGGATAGTAATTAACAATAACATTTATATCATGGCTCCTTAAACCTGGGGTATGCATGTATTCCCGTCGTCCTTGCCAAACATAAGATGAATCTTGTTTTTCACAGAGCATTCAGACTCTGAGATTGTTGATGATTAAATATAATATTGAACTAGTTATCAGCTATTCTTAGAACTGTTAAAGTAACTAGTATTAATTACCCAAATTTGTAACAAAGTAGATGGCAAATTCCTTGGCGTTCTCATTGATCGCAAGCTGAATTTCCAGGGACACATTCCAAATATATCAAAAAAAGTTTCAAAAACTATTGGCATTCTTTCTAAGATCAGATATTATGTACCGGCCCCTGCCCTGGTGACACTCTATTACTCAAATTCAAATGTTTATTCAGGTAAAGTACATACATACAAGGTGTGATACAAACATTGATGGAGTTATAGATACAGCTAGTACATACAATGCCTAAAGCCACTATTACGCAAAGCATTTCGGGCAGGAAAAACACTAAGACTAAAACTTAATACTAATTGAGATTAAAGTATATATTGTGTTGAGAGAAAAATAAAAATAAAAAAGGGGGGAAATTTACACGGCAGAAAAACAGCAAAAATACAATTAGGTCGGCAAACAGCATTGTTTAAAAATAATAATATTTATTTATATTATTAACATAAACATTTATAACATTGAATAAACATTTATTTATTTATTTATAACAGACATGGGTTGACAATATAGGGGTAAGGTAGGTTACAGGGAATTTATTAGGTAGTGCTTAGTTTTAATCTTAAACAATGCTGTTTGTTGACCAACTTCTACAATTACTAATTTCTGCCATGTTCCCCCTCCCCTTTTTTTTCTTTTTTTATCCCTTTTTTGCAACACAATTTATACTTTAATCCCATTTACTATTAAGTTTTAGTCTAAGTGTTTTTTCCCTTTGCCTTGCCCGAAACGCTGTGCGTATTAGTGGCTTTAGGTTTTGTATGTACTAGTTCTATCTATAAATCAAACATTACGTTTGTAACTCTTCATCTATGTTTGTACTTTTCCTGAATAAAAAAATAACTAAATTTAATTTAATAATAATTTAAATAATGAGAATTCCCAGAGAAACTCGTAGCCGAGCAGTAGTAACATCTAGAAGTCTGCTAATTTTATTGGATGATCCATAGATGTGTGGCTCCTCTTGCATGATAGTATGACGATAGATGGAATTACTGGTGTTGATTTCACTTTGCCTCAGATCTACAAGATTTTGTTGAAGTTCTTGGTGTACTGCTGCTCTCAGACTGCTGATTGACAATCCAAGGTTATACTTAATTTCTCTACCCTTCAGACTGAACTATTTGCCTTGCTTCTTGCACTGAAATGTGTAAAAGTCTCCAAACTTGATACATTAATTGTAAGTGACTCGTTATCAACCTTAATTGCTCTCAACTCTTTAAGACATAACTGTAACATGCTCGCGTCTGAAACTAGACACAAATACAACAAAATTATTAATGATGGTAACAGAGTCCATTTCCTGTGGACTCCTCATGTTGGCCTTCAAATGCATGATAAGGCTGATAAGTTAGCCAAAGAATCTACCGTTAAAGGATTGGGTAGCACAAGATACAGAGCGAGTTTAAAGCCCTAGGTAGGAAACTATGAAGAGTTAAACCTTGTTTATTGGTAAAGATAAATGAGGTTACTTAGTGTGAATTATTTGGACTAGGAGGATCTCTTGGTTGGTCCAATAGTTTATTTTCGCTCCAAGGAAAGTGATATTTCGGTTGTTGTTTTACGTTATCTAACCTTCTAATTTGACAGGTGGGAATCTACTGGGAGAAGATTTGTATAATTTACAGTTTGCGCTTTAGGATAATATTGGGGAGAGTCCGCTTAGTCTCCAGCAAACAGATTCCTCTATTGGCGTCCAATCCACGAAGTGGACTAGTATTATAATAATACTTTAAAGCAATAATATTATAGATAATAAGGCCCAATTTAATGGGCCAAGAAAAAATTATTTAAGACTCATTGAGTTGTTCCCCTCCACGGAAATCTTTAGTAAAAGGCGAAAGATTTATGCGTTTTGAAGGGAAACCAGAGTTATCGACTTGAGAAACTTGGAGATGCTGCCGACAGAGCGCTGAGGCAAAAGAGGTAAAGTTATTTTGGAACTAGAAAGGCATCAACCGGTAACTTTGCAATAAGCAATAATTTGTTTTAGCTTTTGCTATATTGCTCTATTGCATTATTATTACTCATTTCATTTTGTATCTTTTCTATTAGGATGTATTTATAAGTGGGCAATGTTTACATAACATATCTTGTGTTATCTGTTTGACACTTGCTGGACTATGGTGATGAGTCTTGATTTTCTGTGGATGGAAGAAAACGCGCGCATGGAG